TTCAGGTATAAATACCCATTAGAAAAGTGAACAAAAATATGTAACATTGAACCAGAATAGAATTTTTTATTGAGCTTGAACCTCTGACCTTACATTGACTTAAATTTTAGAGGGGATAAGTCAGATGTTCACCTGACCCTCTTTTTCTTGACCTTGTGATTGTTGCAGGTCTATCAAGCTGAAGGTCGTTATCTCAAACTATTAGAAGAATTATCTCGTGTACAATACTAACGTGGTATAACTATTATAACCAATATTTACTCCATCATTTGCCCCATGCACCAGCATTCCATTGCCACTATTGCCATGATGCTTGCTACCCCCAAGTCATCATCATTCCACTTATGGTGGTGATGGTAGAGAGTTGGGATATAAGATGAAATTGAGATAAAATATTCAAGGGTAGATTAATTCATAATTAGAATTTTTTAGAATCTTTAGTCACTGATTCTATTCTGCAATTGGGTCTATTATTTAAAATTTCAGTTATCAAATGCAATTAATAAGAAAATTTTAAAATATTTTTGTAAGGACAAATTACACTAATATTCCCTAAAAATTAGTATTAATTAAACTTTAGTCCCTAATTTTTTTTTAATTTTGAGTGCTTAATTGGGTTACCAAACAGCCCCCAACCAGAACGATCCTGACTCATAACCCCCTCCCTCCCCTTCTACTTACTCGTTCACCACTTCGTAATCACCGCATCTCCCAAGTCAAGGAAGCATAGAAACCTCCCAAACACCGTCCCCAACCGATCAACTCTTCGGCGGCAATGGCCGAGACCGATCCGAAACTCGGAAATTCCGAAATCATACCCAAAGACACAGTTGATTCAAACAGACCCACCAACCCCATCTTGTCTCTCATCCCAAACTTTCTCCAAAATTTCAAATTCCCTCCTTTGAAACAACAAGGAAAAGCGAAAGTAGTTACTGATGACTCGGGACCTCCGCCAATCGAAACGGGTGTTAAGGACGATTTGAACGAGGCAAAGCCGGGTTTCGTGAGGCTTCCGAGGAAGAGTTCGCCTGAGGTCAAACTTGAAGCTGAAGAATGTGAGCAGAATACTAATACCAACCCTGTAGTTCTATGGCAGGTAATGAATGAACTTATTGCATAAATCCGTATTTAGTTGTGGAATTGTGTGTTTCCTTTTTATTAATTTCATGGGTTGTTGATTTTATGAATTTTGGGTTCAGAGTGGATGATTTGTTGTTCTAGTATAATGTAACTTTGCAATCGTAATATTGGGTGAGCATAAACCTTGACATTATTTACATACAAGCTTCGCATCTGTGCAATTTCTAGTGTCAGCACAAAGTTCTATCGAGTGAATTACTGTTTTTTCAGTAGAAATTTGGGCGTTTTGTGGAAACATATATAAAAAGAATATGAGAAGTATGAGTATACCCATTTGAGATGGAAGATTGATTATTGTATCACTAATTGGTGTCTTCGTCTAAAATCTAATACTTCAGAAGGCATTATAGCAGTTGTTGTGGTTATGGAGACTTCGGATGGAATTGGGAATTATATGAAAACTATTGAAGTTGTTGGAAATATGGCACAGGATGTTGACTATGGTCTTATATTCATGTGGATTCATCCACAGATGGTAAGTCCATTTTGTATGTTTACAATCATGACATTTCACAAGCCCTTCTCAGGCCTTCCTCTCCTCCTCCTCCTCAGATCATTGGAGAATGAGAGATCAGTATAGATTCTATTGAAACCCTACCAGAACTGCACGGTCTGAAAATCTTGTTGTCTTGTGTATGTTTCTATCAATGACAAAGAGCATTATGTATTACTCCTGCCACACCATTGTTCAAGGTTACCACATAGTTTTATGCTGAAACTTCGTAATAGAATATTTTAAAACTGGCTCATCATGAGATCGAAAATGATCTATGACTTCTCCTTGGGGTTAACAAATTCTCTAGAATTTTTGATTGGGGCTGAAGATGGGGATTGCAGGTATTCTCCTTGTTTTACACTGATCAGAATTCCTTTGAGGCATCATCATTCATACCAGTATAGCAAATAATTGGCATCAGTACAACAAATGCATCATTTTCACACTCTAAAAGTTTTAACTCTTTGGAAGAAGGCCAGTTACCTGGGTTTGTACATTCTCCAAACTATCAAATATTTTGAAAGGACAGTTTCGGTATACAAAGATCTCTCCGCATTGTGGGGTCTAAGGAGGGTCAGATATGTGCTATCTTATGTGGGTGCAAAGAGAATGTTTCCTTTATTAAATACGTCAAAAATGTGCGCTCAATCATAAATGACTAATAGAGTGTCTACTTTGGTGGATGTCTAACCCCCAACTTTTGTGATAGAGGTCATTGACACCATATATCATACCCATCAATTAGAAAAAGTAATTGCAAGAAAAATAGTCTATCAGCAGTTTTGTGGATGATTGCCAGCTTTGTTTAGGCTTGTTTCACCGAGTTATTTTACAGTTGGTTGAGATCATCTACTGATGCACCCTTCTTTGTTCCTGGGGAGGGCAAGAATTTTTAAGGCCTTCACATTTTTAGGTGCCCCTGGTACTCTAATATACATTGTCAAGATGGAAGATGCTCGAGGAGAATATAATTTCAGCTCTATGCGTGAACTGCAAAAAATTACTTCCATGTTGCTTATGCTTTGCTCTTGCTCTCATTTTCTGAAGGGTACTTTGTCCAGTTTTGCCCTTTGCAGTCCTATTTTGTAGGAAATTCTGTTCTGTAGTCTGCCATGCAGACTATTTGACTGTTCTTCCACTTCTCAACGAAGCATGCTAATAGGCTGGAAGGAGTGCTATAAAACCATCAAACACTGTGATCTGTGTCTGTGGCATAGTAATGACGAAACTGTGAACCATAGTGGAGGATTAGGATTTTCCCTCGACAATTATTGTGGAAAATCATAGTTAATAAATTTACCTATATGCTAACCTATGTTTTGAGATTCAGTTCCTCTGATTCACCCTCGAAGACAGTCTTTACAGCAAAGAATGCCTCGTTTGTTAAAAAAACTATTTCACATGTCTTGTAAGGGCCTGAGTAGCACCTATAAACAAAAAATGCATCATGGTGTTTGGAAGATGAGTCGCATGGTGTGCTAAGTTTACTGCCTTCTGTTGGGTTTTGTATCAAGTTTCCTATATCAGGGTGCATGCTTGAACCCATTGTCTCAGTTGCAGAACAGCAATTAAAAAACAGGAGAGATAAAATTCAGACTTTATAATCACCTCATTATTAGTCAACCTGTAAACTTGGACTCTCCACGCTTAAAGTTAAAATATATCTTATAATCACATTTACATGCTTTTTGGCTGCTTTCAGGTTTATGCAGTTGGAGGGTTCTTTGTTTTAAGATGGGCGTGGGCAAGATGGAACGAGCGGAGGGGAAGAAGGAAGCCATCCGATGAAGAACCATCTCCAGCGGATGACTAGTGTTTGAATTGCCATGCAACAGACTTTGCACTGTATGAACTGGGGAGTTTGGTCAGGGGATTAAAGGCCAGTTTTTTTTTCTTTTTCACTTGTTTAAGCATTTATAGCCTTCAACATGACTCATGCCTATTCTGGTCACCTTGCAAAAATAGCTTTCGAGGAACATTGCTTTATTAGTTTCCAATTTAAATACTTTCAAGTCCTGCTCTTTTTCCTACTTTGTACCGAGCTTTGCTTTAAGCCAGAATCAATGTTTGGTGCATAGTTTCAATCAGTTAGAAACATCTCCAAAATGTTTTGAAAATGTTTCAGAGACATTTTAAAAACAAAATGGAAACAAAGAACATCTTGCTGCAAAATATTTAAAAATACCTTGAAACGTTAAAATGTAAATATTTTGATATTCAATCACGGATATGTTTTAATTTTCATGCTTGGGATGGTATATAACTCTTGGGAAAAAAGCTATCCAAGAAGGCGGAGTACTTGCCTTTTGGTGACCAAGAAGGTGGGATCCTGCCTTCACCAAGCAAATCATGTAAACTGGTTGAGGCTTGAAATTCGGTTACCAATCCTTTTTTTTTTTTTTTTTTTGTGGTTGTTTTATTTTTATTATTTTTTGAGGTTCCCTTGGAAATTAAAGTATTTTTCTATTAATAGTACCAAAAACAGAAAAAAAAAAAAAAAAAAAAAGCAAATGAAACTGTATCTTAAAAAATTGTAGAATTTTTACTCGGTCCCCTTAGAACATCTCCAACTCCGACTTAAATTTATTCAATGATTATCTTTATTTTCTTTTAAATTTGAGTGTGCCTTTGTTTAAATTTAAATTTACCCATTAAAATATTTTGTATCAAATCAAATTTTTTACTCAAATGTTAATTTAAATTTGAGTAAAAACTTAAATCATGGTTGAAGATATAACTGGAGATGCTCTTAGAAACAAATTACTATTATCTATAAGACTTTTAATCCGACTATATTCGCCCAAAATAATTCATATGATTCACATTCGAATGTGAATTTAAGGAAAGTTAGTTGCACTAAAAACGTAAATTTATTAATAACAATGAGCTGGCTTACAAGAATGCTAGCAGGTTAAATATGAAACAATGATACACTTGTTAACAATCTGTACACAAGCTAATTTTACCGACACGGATGGATGTGCGCCGATGTATAACAGAAACGCCTGAAGACAATGTCTTAGAACCTGGACCACCTCAAAATGCATCACTTCATGTGTATCATTATTGAGCTTTCCTGGTTACTTCCTCGGCAAATATCCCGAAAATGCAAAGGTTCACAGCTAACTCTTTATTCTATCAGTAGGGCCAGTCCCGAGATCCATCTCAAATATGGGGCTCCATCTTCGTGCGCCATCCCTTCATATCGTATGATCTGTTAATTTATAAGTTGAAACTTTCTCCCAACAAGACCATTGCCTACAAAATTCCATCTGATGCCCTTCCTTAGAAAGATCCTCAGCTGGATAGAATGGCCAAAAGTTGGTGCTATACATCAGGATTAGCCCAAAATTTAGTGTTTTTACTTGGATTCGAAGTAGCTATCATATATAGAAAGCTGATCAAATGCATCAAAGTTTGCCTTTAGTCCAACAAATTGGCTGCCAAATTGGGCGCAACCAGCATCAGGCCACCTACATCCTCCATCTCTGGTGCGTAATGGGCATAGAGTTTCACACACCCGACTAATTGGATTGTTGGAGACATCATCATCTGCCATAAGAGTAACAGAGACAGAGACATCTGATTGCTCATCATTCTGCACAGAACCATCAGATGCTATTTTGGAAGGAGAATACATTAGTTTCTGAGGAATATCTGCTGGGTTGCTTTCAATGTCTACAGTGCAGTTGCCATCCCCTGAGAAGTAAACCTTGCACCCCAGTGATTGTATTGCCCGCTTTATGGATGCAGTTTCCTTGCTGGCTCTCTTTGCTAAATCCACGGCCAAGCTGCTGTTGTGTTTCTCATTTCGCAACTCTGCTGCCAAGGACTCTGTGGTTGCAGTTATTTCTTCCACTTTCCTTTCCGCCACTTCTTTTTCCTGTTAAGATTTGTAAACATCATATTACTCTCTCTATGAAACAGGGATGATGCAGGCTATGATACCAAATTGATGTAGACTAGAAAGAAGAAATGGAGATGGGAAGAGAATTAAGAAGCAGCAGCAAAAGAGAATCAAGAAGAATGGGAGAAGAAATCAGAAGAAATAACTAGGAAAAGACAAAAGACCCTATTTCAATCAATCAATAATCAGTCTAATGAACATCTTACATCCATCATCACTCAACCCTAAATCAAAGAGTCCTAATAATCCATTCCCTTTGTAAAGTGATCACCTGACCGTAAATGAACAAAGATGACAATTATTCATAAGATTTATCTATCTTTATGTAATAAAACGGCAAGTTCTTGACTTATTAAAACATAATGACGGTCTAGGATTCCTAACAATGGATAATAGCAACTTTGTACCAATACCAACAGAATAATAATTATCTCCATGAAATCCTAATGTGAAGGTTTACATTACAATAACAAATGACAATCCGATTCCTAACAAGGGATAATAGCAACTTTCAACTTGAAAAACTAGGATAAGAGTCCACTTCACTTTGCATAGACCAAGAAAAACCAGCTTATTGACCATGTATTTGTACCAAAAATACATTAGAACGTGCATCTTATTTATCTCACCCCTGTCCAGTCGCATCATTTAGCTAAGTATTGTTGAACTCTGATGCAGAATAATTATTTTCAAATCCTGTTGTAATCGTTCATGCATGTCATGACCTACAATTCCAACCAACTAATAGCAATGTCTGCAGTTAAACAGGCTCTTTTACCTAGATAAGTCGAATTTTAGCCTCCGTCGGCGGCCTCTTTAAGAGTCTTCAATGGAAATATGGAGAAAAAAGACAGTCATATTCATGCCGCATGACTAACAATAAGGTGATATACCAGTGAAAAATATACATAGGAGGAATTGAGATTGACATGACAGCGACTTAACCTATGCAGGCTTTTGTAATGCATAAATGATGACCAGATAGCAGAGAGAACAATACTCAATAAATAAATTGTGGCACAAAATTGTCCATAATTTTTTCTTGTCAAAGCCACCACTTGGTATAAGATCAAAGTTCGGAGCTATCTGCATATAAAAATATGGCAGGGTTAACAGCTAGAAACAGAAGTGATCTACCTTCTGCAGTTCAAAGAATTTTTTAGCCATGCTTCTAAATTGAGCTTCAAGCTCTCCAGCTTGGGCTTCCAATGGGCAAGCCCACCGCAGATGGTACTGAGGCCACAGAGTTGGAGCTAAAGCTGCTGCTGGCGGCAACAGTGGACCTTCGTGTTTTGATGGATCATAAAAAGGGTTGTAGTGCGTGTGAGAACTTCCCTCTGAAGCCCGCAAATCCGCCAAATACATCCACAAGCATCCACAGGTATCAGAAACACCTGATTGCTGTCTGTCCTTTTCACTAAAATTAAAAGGGAATAGGTAAGTAAATCGGTATTCCAGATTGTTTGATTAAAGTCGATCCCAAGAGTTCACATCTCAAGCTATAGAGTACAAGGCAATGAACAGACAAGTAAATCCAAAATTTATTAAGTCTTATCCACATAAACACATAAGAAAACGATAAATTTTTTCTCCTACATGACAAGTTCTACCATTCAAGGCCACATACTGAGCTGAAGCTTTACCCGTGCAAAAAAAATAAAAACTACACTAGGAACACTTGCGCAGAATCTAGTAAAGCAAGCTCTAGTACCATGAGATGGTCAAGACACATAATCCCAACAAGGATTCAAACATCGAGTGAGACCGTTTAATACAATACCATTCCGGATGCACTAAAATTTCTCTCACAATCTTTTACCATTCTTCTACTAAATTCTTCACCTGCCATACACTTTAACTCCACAATACGAAACCTTTGTCACCCTCCAACTTGACTACATTTTTCCAAAATACAGTTCTGGTGCATTTTTTATTTTTATAACTTCTTTCTAGCAAACTATCTATATTCCCACTATGATTATCTTACTGCCGACTAATCATTGCATGTATCAGACAGAACAATGTGATTTCAACCAAGGTGCAGATTAAAAGTTTTAAGCTCATAGTACCTGAATTTCAGTTGAGCCTAATTTTGGTGATCCCATTCACAAGTAAAACTCAATGATAGCAGTTTCACCTTAAGATTAAAAGATGAGCTCTCCTTTTAGCATAACTAATTCAAGAAATATAACTAACTGCTCAAGTTATATAATATATTCAAAAAGCCTTTATCTCTAGAGGAGGTAGGCTAACTCTGGTCCACTTTCTTTTGGCTTCTATTCCTATTTACTACATGTCTCTCTTTAGATTACCGAGTTTGGTTGCTAGAAAAATTGAAGGTTTGATGAGAGATTTTTTATGGGAGGGATTGGAGGAAGGTAGGAAGGACTATTTGATTTCATGGGAAGTTGTGTCTAGACCGAATGAGGCTTTGATGGAGAAATGGCTTTAGAGATTCCTTTTGGAACAAGGCTCATTGTGGTGTTTCATTATTAGAAACAAATATGGGTTACAAGCTAATGGTTGGGATGCTAATGGGGTTGATAGAGGTAGCTTTTGAAGTCCATGGAAATTTATCGCTCAAGGGTTACCAATTTTTTCTCAAAGAATTAAGCTCATGGTGGGTGATGGAAATATAATTCGTTTTTGGGAAGATGTATAAGTTGGTGAGGTTCCATTGTGTGAGCTTTCCCTCGTCTTTATCGTATTTTTTTATTTCATGTTTATAAAATTGTTTCATTAAATTCAATACGAGTCTTCTATCGTGTCTTGGGATTTTGGGTTTCGAATAAATCTTAATAATAGGGAGTGTTCGGAGGTGGTGGAAATTCTTTCATCTTAACAATGTTTCATTGACTCATGGTTGTTTGGATCTAAGAATATGGACTATCGACCTTTCTGGCAATGTCTCTTGTAAATCTTTCTTCCAATCTTTAATGATGATTCTTTTTTTTCCGTTGTTTCCCCCTTCGAGGGTGATTTCAAAAGCTAAAGTGCCTTTAAGGTGCAAATTTGTGTATGGATAATTACTAATGGCAAACTTCGAGGGTGATTTCTTTATTATCCTATTGCATTCTCACTATGGAATAAATTGTTTAGACTTGTTGGGCATTGTTGGGTGGCATCATGGAAGATGCTTTCGATGTTATGCTTGGATGTTTTGAGTGGGGGAGAGAATAGATAGTGGAAGACTTTGACATTGTGCGAATGTGCATGGAATTAGGGGTGTCAACCGACATTTAGGGTCGGAAGTGGCTACTTCCGCCAGCCAAACCGAATCTACTTGGAAGTAGAAAAGACAAACCAAACTGAACCGATTTACAAGACCATCCAAACTGATAACCAACTTTTAATGACGGTCGATTTACGGTTCGGTCATCCAATAGGCTTAAATTCTATTGTAGACCTAAAATTCTTTTGGCCCAAACCTAGTTAATTTGCCCGGTAGGTCTCATTCTCATTAGTCTCCATAGGTTCATCAATCACTCCTGTAGCATTAGCCAAAGTTGTATTCCCCTCCATCTAAATAAAAATTTTAATTGAACAAATTAAACAAACAAGCTTAAATATAAAAAAATCAAGATTCAACGAATACAAAAAGCTGTGAATCAGATAAACACAAAAGGAGAACATGTAGAAATACTTTGTATCATACAAATATTAGGTGGCATAATTTATAGTTTGAGATCCAAAAAAATAGATAGAATAATGTATGGTCAGAAAAATGAGAGAATTTGGGGTAGGTACTCTCAAGTATCAAGATACAAAATGAAAGAATTTGGGGTAGGTACTACTTTTAAGAAGAGGATAAAAATGAAAGAATTCAACGGCTTTTCAAGTAGTGAGGTTCAAGACCCCAAAAAAAAAATGTATTCAAAAATATGTATAAAAAATTAGAGTAAGGAAAAAAAAAAGAAAAACGAAATTGATAGTTGTGGAGAGATAGATGATTAGAGATAGTGAAAGAGAAATTTACCAGTCAAAGAAGGGTTGAGATCTAGTCGATACTCGATAAGGTTGAGATATGTTTCTACTCAATAGTTGATGGCACGGTCAACCTTGAGATCTACTCGATAGGGTTGAGATATGCTTCTACTCGATAGTTGATGGCATCTTGTGGTCGACTGATCCATGGATGTAGAATAGTAGAAGAAGAGGAAGCTTAGGGTTTTTTCATTTGAGAGAAAGACAAGAGAGAGGCGGCAAAAGAAAATAAGGTATTCTCAAAAGTGGAAAAATAGAGTTTGGTTGCTTTTATATTTTTGTTTTTTTTAAAGGACAAATCCATAGTATATATATATATATTTTATATTATTAATAAATATATTCGGACGGTTCGGTTAATTCGGTTTGTTTTGAAGGTATCCGTCAGTCGAACCGATTTAATTGGTTAATCAATTTTTACTTCTGAAACAGACCTGGGATCACTATTAACCGTCCGTTTTGTGTTTGGAATGGTCGGTTGCGGTTTGGTTTGTCGAGTACTTGTGTATTTTGCATAGCCCTACGTGGAATGCTATTGTTTGGGTGATATGGTTGGAAAGGAAGGCAAAATTTTTTTATGATAAATGCAATGAAGTTAAAGATATTTGAGAACCGATTTACTTTTTGACTCCCTTTTGGATCTCTATGTCTAAAGATTTTGAAGATACCCCTCTTTCTAGCATTTTTTCAAATATAATGAATTGACGTTGAATTGTTTTTTTTGTTTTTTTTCCCCAATTTTATGTCTTAGTTTTTGGATGTCTTGTCCAACTTTGACATGTCTATTGTACTTTTGTATTTTATGATTAATGAAATCATTGTTTTTTATTAAAAAAAAGTGTAAACTTCATCCACCCTCCCTGTAGATAAGTCTAAATTCAACGACACCTCCTTTTTTCTGAAATTTCATTGCACCACTTTCTAGTTAATATATCCACTTTATTCATACCCCTAGCCATGGCCAACCGTTACTGACATCTGAAAAATGGCTAGCATCATCTTACTTTTTTTCAAAATACCAATTTTACTCTCTCTTTCTTCACAATGCATAGCACCTCTCTTTCACTTTTCCTCTCCATTCACACACACCATCATCCACTGCCACTGCACTATCTAATTCACCAAACAAAAATAAATAACATCATATTCAAACTCTATTTTTTTCTCGATTTTAGATGAAAGAAAGACGAATAACCACAATGGGCAACCACCAACACACTATTACAACGCATAGCCACCACTGTGCACCAAAATTCCACCATGCCATCATTCCACATACACCACACATAAACATCCACCCAAAACATCAAAAACTACCATCAACCCCAATACACACACGCATACAAACAAAAGCACACAACCAAATCAAAATCAATTTTCAATTTTAATTTTCCACCTTGATGTTCAAATCATAAGCTAAATCGAAAAATGTCACTACCCCATTTGCCAGCTCTCTTTCTTTCTTCAGTTACTTACAGTAACCAACATTAATTGATACATAAGGTGTAGTTAGTATGGAAACTCAGAAACAAACCTTTCAAAA